GCAATTGAGATTATATAATTATTATTCTTTTATTTTTTTTAAAAATAATTCTTAATCTTTCTATGAGATTTAAATTATATTAATTTTTTTTTACTAATCATATGCTTTAATTTTAATTCTTATAAAATATTGATATTTGGTAAATCTTATTTTTGTCGTATTTTCAAAAATGTTTACAATTTAAAATGATATGCTTAGAAGTTGAGACAGTAAAATGATATAAATATTATTATTTTAAATAACTAATGATAATTTGGCGTTGGTACTTATTAAAAATTATAACTATTTACATTTTTTGTCTATGATAATTTGTTTTAAGTTTTTTACACGTGTAGAAATAACAAAGAGTAAACAATATACAATTGTTTGATCAATGTATATTTAATGAAATAATGTTAATTTATCCAAGTAAATAAATAAAAATTGGCATTGATTGTCTTGACAGTATTGATAGTACTTTTAATGGTGTCCGCATAGCATGCCTATATAATTCAATTAACAAGTCATAAATCATATCGTAATAATATAAGTATATAACATAATATGTTTTTGGACTCGGAGGATTTGAAAATGTTACACTGAAATTATGTTTATATATGCCATAACTATCAGATACATTATGCTATGTGCACACATATATTTTAATTGATAATATTATACCCAAAGTTTTACAAAACATAACTTCTCCCTACAATTCAGTAGTTATAACTGTCATCAACATATATATTGTATATATATATATATATATATTATAAATACGTAGGAAATTTAATTGACTCGTCGTATAACAACCCCAATCACTTACGCTATATATTGCTCGACGTTATATACTCACAATAATGACAAGGTGGTGCGTGTCGTAGTATAATACTAATTATATCGTTTCGGTATAAAATAACGATTTCTAGTCTCGGCGGGGAGTCATCTGTCGTACGATAACAATAATAACATGTGTGTCATATTCACCCCATGGTCTGTATACGCCATATAGTAAACATTGGTCAATCATGATGTACGACGAAAATGGTAGACTGCACTAATAAAGACTTGTAAATACGCACACTGTGAGTGGGCTCAGATCTTTATACTTATTTATAGACTGTGCAATTATTATCGCTTGTTTGCCACCCGTCGATAATATTATTCTCCGTTTTTCTGTTGTTTTTTTTTTTCATATTTATTTCCGTTTGTCTATCTTACAGTATTTTGTTTACCCCATCTATTTTGCGAAGGCCACGTGAAAACAATGTTCGTAGCATCAATTACGTCGGCAGTTGTTGATATGCCGAGACACGCGTACACTTTTATGTATCTTTATTTTTACTCTCTGCTATATATTTATAAATAAGAATGGATTTTCGTATTGTTACTATTCTCCTTCAAAACTATCAAATAGATTTTAATGATGTTTTCCATGTTGAATTGTTTGGTTTTTAGCAAGGGTTTGAGCAAAGTTTTATAGACTCAACTCCTGTCCCCAAAAAATTAAACAATGAAATATGAATACACTGATTGTTCGGTTAAAGAGACGTGATAAAGGGGGTGAAGATGAACTGTTTTTTTAGGTAAATTGTTGGTTAGCTATCTGCTATAGCATAGGAACACATAAGCTATCACGAGCGGAATACTACCGGTTGCCAAAGTCTACCTTTGGGAAGCGATTCCATAAGGTGGGCAAGATATGTTATATGACTATTAAAGCTTTAATTGTGTCATTGCGTATCTCTCTTGTATTGTACTTATGTCTGTTAAGTATGATTTTTTTCATAAAATTATTATCTTGTTATGTACTTTTATAGTTTTGAGTAATTTGTTTTAAATACATGATTATGTTTGTTAAAAGTAAAACATTTGTACAAAAAAGTATTATATTTATTTTATACAGTCAATTATATAATGAGTCGTAAAAAAATTGCTTACAGAAATATATTTTTGGTAGAAGACTTCTGTAATTTTTTAGAACATAGAACTATCACTTGTTTGTCATTTTTGACGACATTTTTCTCTGTATTTTAGTTAGTTTTTTTTTTTTATCGTCGTTCCGTCTATCCGTTCTACTATCCGTCCATTTTTTCCTTACCCCATCTATTATTTGAGGGAGTGAGTGAAAACAATGTTTGTAACACCAATTTATATTGACTGTTGCTGTTGTACTGGACACATACACACACACACACAAACACACAAATTTATATATATATATAAATAAATAAATAAATAAATATATATATATATATATATATATATATATATATATATATAGCACCACCCACGTATATACCAAAGCATTTATTTTCATTAGGGAGCACCTCAGTGTGTCCCTTCCGGCGTCGGAGCGAAACAATTTCCTGAGCGACGAAAAGTTTCTCTATATTCTTGCACAATTGCCGCCGCCTGACACCACTGCAACCCACCACCACTTCGATACCTATACATATATATTGCATGTAATACAATAGCTGCAGCTTTAGTGACGTCTTTATATATATGCGTGTCGCGCTCACAAAATGAAATTCGAAAAAAAACAATATAATGTGCGCGAGAAAAGGGGAAGTGCTAAAAAAAAAAAAACAGTGAGGTACACACTGAGTCTAAACCGCTGTATAAAAAACGAGAGTTATTCGAAAAAATTGTTTGATGTAAGTTACCTCCGGGATGCTGTCCATTACAATATCTCGAGAGTCGTGAATTTCATACCTGAGATTATATACTATATTATCTATATATTTGCACTGATGATATTTCGTCAGATCACTAATTTGCAGTAAGTATACCGTAATTCTGTCATAAAATGATATACAAAAATGATATATTATAAATTATATTGTAATTATTCTTATATGTGGTCGCGGTAATGTAAATACATTAAATTAAATATCATGCGATGTATGTATTGTGTATATATATATATAGGTACAATAGGTACATAAACCGAGACTTTTGATCAGAATGGTATTATACCATATGATTATCAAGTGTTATGATGTGGACAACGTTGTACTAAGATAACCGAAAAATCATTAATACTAGATAACATTTAAAATTTTTATCTGGACTGCATAATGGATACACTACAGTTTATAGAAAATGAGCAATAAATTATGATATAATTTTAATAAATACAAAGATATTGGATATTACTATATTAATAAAAAAACAGGAACATCAAATCAAATCAATATGGTATAGGCAATATCTTAGAAAAATTAACACATCGCAAAAAAAGATTTTTATACCTAAATAAAATTAAAAATTGAGTCTTAAAATTATCTAGATAGTTTATCTTAGATAATAATTTTATTGAAATAAATATTTTATGTTACTTTATCTAGATAAAAGTTCGCTGTTTTAATCTAACACGCTTTACGACACAATGTTCGTACTAAAAGAATGCTAAAATTCGCATGTGTTATCTTTGTCTTACAAACATACGACATAGCGAAATTTACGTTCATAATAAACTTTTTTATTCAGTTATTTTTAAATTATCAGAGTGAATTAATCTATTATGCATTTAGAAGTAAAATTATTATTTATGGCTTTTTGGAGGTTTTTATTGATATTATTATTGTTATTAAATTTTATGATAAGTAAATTCACTCTAATTTAAAAATGTAAAATAGATTCTTGTGAACTTAAAATTCGATGTACAACGTTTGTATGGAGAATACAACGCAGCGATTGTAATGTCTTCTTATAGTTTGAAAGTATGTTTATAACGATACATGGATGAATAGAAGTCAGCAAACGCGTATCGTAACTACTAGTATATTATAATAATTATACTATATGGAAGGTGTATGTCATTCTATTTTCGTTGTTGACATACCACAACACTCACCTGTTAAGACCGTCGATTCCATAGGAAAAATTGTTCGGAATTTGTTTAAATTCAGCCAATAATACAAATAATATAATACAGCTAGGTAGTTTAAATTATAACATGCAGTCGTCTCGGGATGAGATCGAACATGGCTAATGAATATTTATCGTCATCATGTCTATTATATTATTATGTGCATTGCAGTGGCGATTCTCACGCGCCTCGCCGAGCTTTATCCGTATCGAATTCGTGGCGCGCGTGTGTAATGTATACGCATATATTATTACATTACTTATGTGTACTGCATGTAATGTGTCCCAAAATCGATATAATATATTGCTAATATATCGTTTACTTCCAGAAAATTGGTGTATGGAATGTATCAGCAATTTAAAATGTTTGAACGAGTTATATTATTTTTACACGAATACTCATGGTAAAATGCATGTTCTTAATTTTTATGATGCACTTATCTACACTTTTATATAATATTACACTTGTAATATACATATCATATATGGTGTACTAATTTTATCGTAAGATCATTTAAAAAATAATCGTTCGTGTTATGAGCATTTATCATTGTGTGAACTAAGAAATCTTTAAAGGATTTAATCTCAATATACAGTTTCTCGACTAACCACACATTGATATGTTCTGATCCTTGATGGTGTGATATGATACTCTCGTATCGTTGGGTTAAGTAATTTAGATAAAAGATTGTAGGTAATGACGTATAATATAACTTAGTGAAACAGCAATACGTGCAAATAAATCTTTTCTTTTCATTTTATTTTCACGTCGATAATTTTCATGTTTTCTTTTCGAGTAACATTAGACGAGTTTGCGCGGCATTTTCCCTCTGTATATACATGCGCGGTAATAATTTATCGATTCGGCTTCACTGAAATTTGATCGGGCTTAAAAAATATTCCAAAAAATAAGTTTATTCTCTGTCATCGTACTGATCGTTTTCATTCTTTCTCCCCAACATTTTTTGGTCCAATTTATCAGCTTATATTTCATTTATAACACCCGACACTATATACACCATATCATTATGTATTACACACGTATAATACTATAGTATGTATATACAATTGTTGGGAAAATTGTATATGTAAATAACGTATATAATTGTGTAAAGCTGCAATTAAATATCGGTAAATTCTGTATGATGCACGAGTTCCAAGTGCTGACAAAAAGAAAACGTGATTTGCCAAAAGAATCAAAGTTCTTGAAAAATAAATGTTATGTATTGTTTGTATACAAAATACTTCAATAGATCGATAGTTGTAATGTATGAAAATATGTTATTTATGTCATATAAATTGTTTTACAATCCATTAAACTTAATATTAATTATTATTGATGATAATAATTATAATAATAATGTTATTATTTTAGTAGTTATTCTGATTAACCTTTATAATATAAAAAATAATAATAAAATTGTTAAAAATTAAAAGTTAATACATCGATAGATAAATAAAAATTTTAATATAGACAAATTAAAAATTATCCCTAAATACATCTTTAGCTAGTTATAAAAAAAAACAACAACATTAACAACATACAAATAACTATTTTATGAAATTATTAAAGAATTCACCAGTTATGAATATACCTATACCGACGCATCAAAAACTGAAAATGGTACCGGAAGAGCTCCTGACTTCCAGCAAAAAAAAAAAATAAATAATCACTGCAGCATATTCTTTGCCGAAATGCTAGCGATATACTCTGTTATAAAATATTTAAAAAACTCACAACTATCCTATAATTATTTCTTATTTACAGACATATTAAGCTCCGTAAAATGTTTAAGTAACTATAGAAGTAACAACAGTTTAAAATCAAATATAATAGAAGCAATAAACGACTACCCTAACAAACCTTTATTGTCTGGATATCAGGTCACAGTAATATAGGATGTGATGAAAAAGTAGATTGTCTAGCAAAGGAAGCAGCCAATAATGATAACTTAGAAATAAGCGAGAAATACTGTGCTCATGAAAACACACTAAGATGTATTAGTACTGCGATTGAAGAAAAATGATCACTCAAATAGAGAAGAAAAGAAACCAAACTCAGCGAAATAAAACGAACAGAACGTTGGAAAAACATAGCAAATCTTAACAGAAAAGAAGTATTATTAACACGTTTACGAATAGGACATACTCGTTACACACACGGTTACCTAATGAGCAGAGAACAACAACCCAGGTGCGCAGCATGCGGAGTTCACTTGACTATCAAACATATACTTGTCGAATGCAAACAAACTGAAGCTGCAAGAATCAAACACAACATGCCAGAATATCTATATCAATTACTAGGTCTAAACGTATCAGCCATCTGACCAGAATTTTTTTTTTTTTTGAATTTTTTTAAATTAAAATTTTAATTTTAATCAAAAATATTCAAATTTATTATTTCAAATCTTTTTTTTTTAGTGGCATAATACTATAAAAGTATTTTTATATTATTACAGGTTGAGTGAGGATTTTTCACATATATTACATTAGACAAGATCGTAAATATGTGCTTTTAGCCCATACAAAAAAAAAAAAAATTGTACAACAATTATGTATTATATTGTTATGTAATATTGTATATGAGATTATCATAGTAGCAAAAGATGCAAACATAGCAGTTGATAACACGAGTAATAAAAAATAAAAATTATGGGTAAAAACAAAAACCCAGGAAAATTCAAAATTTTGATGAGGGCAATTAACACACCAATTCGTGTTAACAGGATGATAAATGTTTAGCAAACATTTATTTACGAAAATCTCAATAGTTGGGCAAGAAATTTACAAAAATTTACGTAATTTCTGGAGTTTTATCATTTTTCAAAACAAAAAAATAATTAACATGATTCGATGAACGGTATTATAAGAGAAGAATTAACAGTAAAAGTCGTCCAAAGTTTTCGTGTGCAGGTGGAATTTTTTTGCTCTTCAGATGATACCAACAGTTTTTGCTGCATGGTAAATACGTTTATTTACTTTGGCTGGGCGATCGCACAAAGTTTTGTCTATATTTAATCATCGCGTGGTCAAAGTTTGATCACGTTTGTACGGTCGGCGGGCTTCATGGTAACGTACTTAATAATTGATGGCTTTTGATGAAATATACGCGTTATAAACATTATATACCAGTTGTTTGTGGTGATGGTGGCGTGAGGAAGATAAAGGATAGATTGGTTATATAATGTACATAAGCCAATACATTTGAATTATACAATATAATATATAGACAGGAAAATTATGTTTATTTCGTATATCGTATGTGTACTGTATAATATATATACGCAATATATAAATTTTCGATTTCATTCGATACGGAAGTAATTTCTAATGAAAACGGGTATTATATTATGAAATCCGCTATAAATACCTATATATTTGTGTGTGTGTATAGGTCAATTACGGTTGAATCACTAAGCATACTCTATGAAGAACAAACTTTACGAACTAAGTATAATATAATCAATAAATAAGGACAATCTATTGTTTTTAATTTATAAAGTTTATTAACTCAGAAACTACTCGTTCGAATTGAAATTTGCATACGTCAACATTTTCATAAAATCATTTGTAATAAAACAAAGCAGCTCATTATTTTCAACTAACAAACAAGACGATGGTACACTTGTTTATGCAAAGCCATTTTTAAATATAGTAATTATTTACATACGTTTTTTTATTATTAACGTTTCCGGTACGCTTATATAGAATATGTATTATTGAATACATTGATATGATTGAAATATATTATGCAGTATACACATCAATACATCATTGTAAATCATACTCTATGATAGTGCGAGTAAAAATGGAAATTACTTTTTTAGAACGTCAATAAACGACACCCTTGTGTTGCTCTTAACAATTAATACCCACGTTTTGTATTATCATTTTCGTGTTCCACACTTCCATTCAAAATCGAAAATGGATAATGAAATATTGTACGTAATCGTTACAGTGTGGAAGTTATTGCCGCGTTTAATATACGATCGATATAGAATTGCATTTTTAATACCAATTGTTTGTATAGTAAGTATTATCACACTAAAAAAATTCCGTGTAAAAAAAGCTAAGTTAAAAAATAATAAAATAAGTAATTCTTTAAAAGACGTTATATAATATGGAAACTAATTAAAATGCCATTTTATAATATTACAAATACCTATTACGACAAATAAGATCAATAGTAACGTTGAATAGGTACTTGGTCAACATATTATTTATAAATAATAAACTACGACAAATATTATATTGGTTATTTATTTGTATTAAATGTATGTGTAATTATTACTTACACGTCCTGTCAAGTAGCTAAACAATAATAATATGTTGACTAGGTATTATTTAATTTTACAATTGATCTTATTTGTCGTCATAGATATTTGTAATATTATAAAATGGTATTTCACTTAGTTTCCATATTACATCACGCATTTTAAAGATTTAATCATTACTTATTTTATTATTTTTTTAATTAAGCTTTTTTTTACATGGAGTTATAACGAAGTGTTTTTAGTGTGATATCAGCTATTTTTTTATTATAAAAAGCTCTGTCTATTTCTTTGTCGATACAGTGGTAATAAAATATATTTTTAGTCACTTTCTTTTTAAAATATACTGTATTTAATAATGTAACAGAAAATAAAAACAATTTAGTGAATAACGTATAATGATTCCAATTATAATAGAATAATACGTATAAATCGTAATAACTTTAAAATTGTTAGACTTTTATATAAATTTTATATGGATTTGTATAATTTAAATTATTGACATACAATATAATATATTACATTATTTTATTGAGTTAGTTTTAATTTATATTTTAATGTTTCATTTACTATGAATTGCGGGTAATTGTGTTATAGTTATACCTGCAGGTGGTATCACGGGGAGAACATATTTATGTTTTTTTTATTTGGAAAAATGTTTTTTACACGTTAACCGATTTTATAATTTCCACAACAATGTAACATTTCATAAATTAAAATTCAATTGTTTAACCTTTAAAATTAATTACTAGTTGATACATAATCAGATTCTCTATCAATAGCCACTACAAGTAGTACCTATCATAGATTGATGTTAAATATGATTTTTTCTTAGCAATATTTAATTTAAATATAATAATATTATAATTGCCAGTGATATATAGTATTCATATAAATAATTAAATGTAAAATTTGAAGTATAATGTAACTAAAGATAATTTAATATTTTTACAAGTGTAGCTATATGTACGTATATTCATATATATAATATATATTCATGAATTCAGTTTTATAATGATAATTCTATATAATGTATAGTATAAATATCATTACAAATTATCAATTGAAAATTATCTTTCTTATTTATAGCTTATAAAAGCACAAAAATTTAATAAGATGGAAAAAAAAATGTTTTCACCTTTCAAGGTTCGAATTTATTCTTTGTAGTTATTAATTACTCTCGAAACAAAATTAAAATATTAGTTATAAATATTTTCAGTTTTTATGCTTAATTTTTTTCTTTTACTTTAATTTTTGCTCAATTTATTTAAATGTTGTTATTATTAAATAATATTTCCTTTTAAAAGTACAATGCCTGATAATTAGATCAAAATACTGTTGGAATATAAATACTTTTGCGAGCTGAAATTATCAAATGTTTCGGCTAATCTAATTAATATTTATTTGATAATTAAAATCGATGATATTAATTTATTTTTGACTGAAAACAATTAAATTTATAAAATATTTAGAATTAGATAGTCCTAAAAGTGTTTTAAGTTCATTATTTTGAAGGTTTAAAAAAAAAATGTTTGTTGGTATATTTCTCTTGAATGTAGGAATTAGATATTTTGTTATACTATGTTATTAGAATAAAATTATCAAATTTTGTATGACATTTTTCTTACAATATTCGTGGTGTATGATACATTATTGTCAAAATACAATGCCAAAGGATGTGTATAATATAATTAATATCATACTATTATAAATAAGAAAACGATTAAATTAAATAAGTTTATACTATACTAGCTTGGTTTATTATCAACATTATTTTATTTCTATTAATGCCACGAAAAAGCGCGTAAATATACTAATGACATTATTATTATGGTATACGTAGATAGATAGGTACAGTTAAATTAATATTTGGCGTTAAGCCTTATCGCAAAGCTCTGAAACCAAAGTATTTGAAGAGATAAAAGAAATTTTTATTGTATTGATAATAATATAGGTACGTATAGTCAGTATAGGTTATTTTATATGTGACAACTAACAATAATTGTTCTATCCACTGTAAACCACATATTAATAATTTGATTTTAACTTGAATTTACATGTTATTTAGTCTAATTTAGTGATACATAATATTATAATAGTTAGAGACATTCAAGTTGACTAATCTTTTAATATATATTATATATTATTTCTCTATGTTTTGCCTACAGACACTATACTTGAACATTGACCAGATATTCAATATGAAGTTATTTGATTTCACGTTTGATAGTTTAAAGAAAGCAATTTTAATTTAATCATCGACCTAACTTGTTTTTCTCCCATAATGATGAATGACCAAACATCTAAAACAATGTCAACACATTTTTAAAATCTGCCAAAAATTTTCTTTCAGAATTAAGATATCGTTTTCCTGTTTTCTGTGCTCTTAAATAAGTTAAGTACCTAATTGATCAGATGATACACATTAGTCATATGAATAATATACCTTCTCTAATTATTAGATTACTTTTAGTGTTACTTTAACCTCTTTTTCTTTTAAATATTGTTTTTGAATTAAAATTATGTATAATTTCCTTAAAATATTAAAATATATTTTACGAAAAATATACAGAGCAAACAAACGTTGTAGAATAATCAATAATACAATTTGTAAATGGTAAAACAAAGACACTTTAAGACCGATAATAACAAAAAGTAAAATAATTATTTATTTTATTTATAAAATACCTTTGTTTTAATCATTCTATAAAGATTTAAAATTTACTTTTTTTTTAAGTTATTTCTTATACTAAATCTTTATAGTACATATATTTATGTGTCTAACTTACTAATATTTTTTTTTCCATAAGCAGGTTATCATTTATTGCTCAAATGTAATTTAATTGTAAAAAAAATGTGATTGATATAATATACAAATAAATACATAAGTGTTTATTTTGTTATAATACCTACAAATTATACTAATCACATTTTTATAATTGGATTTCATTTGAGCAGCAAATGAGTTCACGGAAAAGAAATATTAATCATGATATAAATTTTCAAGTTTAATTAAACTATTAGGCGGTTACTATTATTTATATTAAATATAAGAG